GGTACTTGAGAATATGCCGAAAAATTAATATGTTGCAATATTAATATTTGTAAAGGTAGGAAAACTAGCTAACTCTAAACCGGTCGATAGAGAAAATAGTCGTTAAGATATCGTAGAAGATTCTGTACACTTTCAATAGTCTCGGCTGCCGAGGTAAAAAAACCATTTTTCTATATAAATTTATGAAGAAATCTTCGGTGCTAAACGCGTCTCATCGCGCGGTGCAAAAAAAAGCTTGAAAAAGCATCGAACAAACAGATTAATCTCAAAGTCGAAAAACTCTCGAGGGGGAAAAGCACACGAACGACAGTCATTTTTGTTTCTTTCGGGGAACCCCGATTTATCATATTCATCGATTTGTATCGTACATTCGCGCGCACGATTATGTGGACCACTCGAGAGCTCCATTAATAATTTGCATATCCTTGCTTTTTGTCACAAAGGAGAAAACCCGTCGACCTGTTCTCCGCGGTAAAAATACCACGTAAAAGCGCCCGTATCGAGTCAATTACGATTAATCTCTGTCAGTCCGACATATAGAACCGAGATACAGAAGTGGGAGATTCGCGTCATTTTCCACTGTTTGGTCATTTGACCACAGCCTCGAGTACATTATGACGTGAGTAATTAATGTTAACAGAATCAAACTACCGGCCAGTCTTTTCGCAATAACGAAAGGCGAAAAACAGAGTGAATATCGAAGAAGTTTATTGCGTTTTACTGCGTTCGCATTAATAATAATATCAGATCGAGATTAACATCTGCGCGATGTAAAATTAAAAGTACGTTCGCGTTTTTTTTTGTCGATATACGTAAGTGGGTATTTTACTACTGTAAGTAATCAGTTGTTAGTCGGTTTTTGCGCGTGGTAAAGTTTGTCTTAAACGTTCGATTGATTATATATCAGAGCTAATTAAACATTGAAATTCCTTATTCTCTCAATATGTGAATTTTTCTCTTTTATCAGAAACCATCTTAGGAAAACGAAGCCTATTGATTCAAGTACCACAAGACAGCATCACACCAAGTTACAAAATGAGACAGAACTTCCGAGCTATTTATATTTCGTTTTTTACATGTACGTAAGAGTGGTGTTAAACAAAAGAAGGAAGTTTGTGCACAGCAGATATACATGCATGTATGTACATACATGTGTAATTAAATAAAATAGGGAAGGTAGTGAGACAGAGTACGTAAACATTTAAACTGATTTAAGCCAGTCCGATGAAGCAAAACTTTTATAAACTAATGCAGTATTATAGCGAATTCGATTGGTTAGGTATAGAATTGGTTAGGTATAGAAAAAATTCAATTTTCTTTAAATGTCTTATTTCGTTATATTACTTAATTTTAATTTCTCTTGCGATTAAAATTAATCAAAGAGCGAATTCGGTTGCTTGCACTAGTGCGCACTGAGTGCACACGAAGGCTCGTTTACAGTTAATTTTTGTATCAGTGAATCGTTTTAAATATTTTTTGAAATATTTCGCAGCCAGTAAAATGTATAGCATCCATACGGATCATTTTTCGACTAAATACTCTTCGAACATGTATTTAAGACAAAGTTAGATATAAGAACTGACTATAAACAAGCCTTTAGCGTGCACTCAGTGCGCACTAGTGCAAGCAACCGAATTCGCTCTTTGATTAATTTTAATCGCAAGAGAAATTAAAATTAAGTAATATAACGAAATAAGACATTTAAAGAAAATTGAATTTTTTCTAACATCTATACATATGTATATTGTATAAATATGTATATACATATGGTGCTCAGTATTTGGGGGATTGATTTTAGAATCTAAACGTAAATTGCACTACGAGCTCTTTCAATAAAAAGGAAATATAAATAGAGATCCTGTTCCGGAACATTTAGAGCGCATAAACATAAATTATATGTATTATGTTTATCTGGTAAATTAATGACAACGTAACATAAAGAGGCAAGATAATGAATGCAAGGCCATCTAGTGCTTCGTGCATAAAATACGATTATATAAATTCCATGTATTATTTCAGTAATATATTTAGCGTGCGTCGGAAAAGTTGCTTGCTACTTTTCCGATCGTCCAAAGTTATCGACGTCATTCATTGGCCCGCAGATCCAGGCGAGACCTGGGCTGCTTTCGCGAGAAGATCAAAATGATCCGGATTAAAATGACCCTGTGCTATGATTGGTCAAATCTGAAATTTCGTAGCATCACATTGAAATTTTATTCAATGAAATTCCAGATTTGACCAATCATAGCACACGGTCATTTTAATTCAGATCATTTTGATCTTTTCGCGAAAGCAGCTCAGGCGTTTCCGTACCTCGATTACCGACTCACTTCGCCCCATAGGTGCGAGTCCAGACTAAACGTATCCGCTTTTATCGACAGACTTGGACGAATGCTCGTGCGAATCGTTCGAACGGTCGTGTCGAGTAGACGGAAAGGCGAATAGGAACGATCCGCGGGATAAAGTTCACGCAGGAATAATGCATAAATGTACTCACCGGAGGGTTGCTGCGCCGTTGCCCGATGCCTCCCAGGCCGTCGCTTCCTCTCCGATTCCTCCATTTGGCACCGGCACTCGGCACAACGCGGCACTCGCGAGAGAGAAGCCAATTATTTCCAAGTGACGCGCGACACGGCACTCCCGGCGTTAACCGACGCGAGCTCCGCTACGACGATCGCGCGCGGGAATGCGAGCCGCCACGATGGCGTCGCGCGAAATTGCGGGAACGTTACGGCGAGAAGGACTCGGAGATACGCGAGGCTCGACGCGTCTCGCAAGCGAACGCGAGCGTTCGACGGGGCGATCTCGCGCCGACGTCTCTGTCGCCGCGCGTCACGCGTGTCTACACGCGCGGGGGAGACGCGAGTTAAGATTGAAGCTCGGACACTCGCGGCGCCGCGAGAATCCGGCTACGAGGAAGATTCCGGCCGGGGGATTTCTCGCGAGACTCTCACGCGTCGCGCTAGCTCGCCGACGCGTCAATACCAAACGATCCACGCCCGCGATTAGCTCAACTTGGTCAGCACTGGACTCACCATCGTCCGCGTCGTGAAATACGTCGCCGCCGACCGACGGGCGCGGGAGACCGGTCCGCTGCGTGTCCGCGACGCTCCGCGATGCTTCTCGAACAGACCAACATGGCGCCGGTAACCGGCGACCCCCGCGCTGCTGCGCGACACTACGCGAGTCGAGTCAGCGACGCCACTCGAGTGTGTCCACTTTTGATGTCACTCGCGCAGCGTATCTCAAGTAAACGCGTAAATTCACCTGCTTTTTATCGACGAGCAATCGACAAGCTCGCGGCTCTCCTCTACTCAAGTTACGTCCAAGGCACAGCGAGCGCGAACGGCGATAGGCGGCGATTCGACGGTCCGCCTCTCGTATCTCCAAAGTGCACGCTCGCGTGATCGTGGCGTCGATTAATTACGCGGAGAATAATCGCGCGCGTCGCCCCGTGGTCGCGTACGTGCCGGCGGCTCGAACGATACTGCGGCGCACGCGAACGTTCTGTGACCTCGGCTCGGCGCGCAGCGGTCGCGGCGGCTCGAGACAAACAAGTGACGATCGCCGCGGCCGCGGCGGCTCGAGATAAACAAGTAACAGTCGCTGCGGCGCGGCGGCTCGAGTGCGTCGCATTGTCGCTCGAACTGCCGTACGAGTGGCACGGGACGATGTGTGCGCGATCGTGTTATTTGACGTCGTCTTCGCTTCGCGTAGCGTGCACTCGGAGGTACGCGAAGCGAAACGTCGAATCGCCGTCTACTACCGATTTCTCCGATGTGACTCGAGCAGAGGAAAGCCGCGAGTGCGTCGATTGTTCATCGGCAGCACGTTGTGAATTTAAGTGCGCGTTTACTCGAGATACCTACCTTGCGCGAGCGATATCGAAGTGTCTCTCTGGTGATACTCAAGTCGCGTCGCCGACTTGACTCGCGTAGTATCGCGGGGAGGGACCGGCGGGAACCGGCGCCGCGAACTATTCGAGAAGAATCGCAAGTGGACCGGTCTCTCGCGCCACGGACGGTGGTGATCGTAACGCTGATAAAGTTGAGCAATCGCGGCGCGGGATTACTCGATACTCACGCGTGAAACTCCGGCCGGAATGTTCGGCGCAGCCTCGAATCCTCGCGCGGCGCCGCGCCGCGGTTATGCCGAGCTCCAGTTTTAACTCGCGTCTCTTCACGCGCGGGAAAATCGGGCGTTTTCACGACAGAAACGTTGACGCGAGATCGCCCCGTCGAGCGCTCGCGTTTGCTCGCGAGACGCGTCGGGCCTCGCGTATCTCCGAGCTCTTCTCGCCGGAACGTTCCCGCAATTTCGCGCGACGCCATCGTGGCGGCCCGTATCTCTTTTTCCTCGTTCTCGTTGTAACGGAGATCGCGTCGGTTAACGCCGGGAGTGCTGTGTCGCGCGTTACTTGGAAATAATTGGCTCCTCTTTCGCGAGTGCCGGCGCCAAATGGAGGAATCTGAGAGGATATGGCGGCCTGGGAGGCATCGGGCGACGGCGCAGCAACCCTCCGGTGAGTACATTTATTTATGCATTATTCTCGCGTTAACTTCATCCCGCGGATTGTTTCTATTCGCCTTTCCGTCTATTCGACACGACCGTTCGAACGATTCGCACGAGGATTTGTTAAAGTCTATCGATAGAATCGGATACATTTAGTCCAGACTCGCATCCAGAGGCGAAGTGTATCGATAATCAAAGCACGGAAACGCTGGTTCTCGCCTGGACCCGGGTCTTTGACGATCTGTCTGCAATTGAGTCTCGCAATTCTTGACACTCAAATTTTGTATCTTAAAAATCGGCAAAGTAGCAGAACGTAATTGGATGGAACGTATCTAATTATAAAATTACAAGAGAACGACTTCCAAAATTCTTAAATTTGTGAATTCACAGAATGCGAAAATTTAAATTTTGAAAAGAGACGAAGTATGCAAGAGACAAGTATTCAAGAGAATGTATAAATTTTTAAGTAGAGAACAAAATTTCGGACGTCAATTTCAAAAATGTTATTTATTAAAAAGTTGTTTTAGTTATCTACACTAAAGTAAAATTATGCCTATACAACACACATACGCCACGTATGAATATTTATTTAAATACAATAAACACGCCCACGATCAGTGCAATTTCACATACCAAAGCATTCGAGTGCATTGTTCAGTTCTAATACATATACTTGAAAGACTGTAACATTAAAAAAAAAGTATGATAATATTTTCAATATTGACTAAAATTTCTGTATTAAAATCGTGCAACGCGTACACATATCCTCGTGATATAATTTTCTATCATTTTTCAATGTATACAATGAAAAATTATAGAAAATGTTTTAACGTAGTTCTCTTGTAACTTTTCAATGTATACACTGAAAAACTAACCAGAAATAAGTGTTTGAAAACATTTTTCATTTATAGCAAATTTAACATTACAATAATTTTTGTTCCGAAATATTTATTTTTATAAATTATTTATTAAAAACTAAGAGAAATAATAGTGAATTTCTTTTGGTCACGAGGTTGCCGATTATTAATAATACCTTCACACGGCTCCGACATTGAGTTTTCTATACCTAATATGGAAACGATTGTCATATACAATAATAAATTTAACATTAATCAAAATATCTGCGTATCAAGGTACTAATATGTCCAGTTTTGTCATGTAGGAATGTCATCATTTACGTTCGACGACAGTCTTATATAAATTGAGGAAAACACTAAATGTTATAAATCGTAATTACAAGTTTATTTAACGCTATAATTACTACACACTTAATACCACCTATTAATCGAGCAACTTGTGCTTTCACTTGTATAGGACAAATTTCCTATTTAATAATGTAATATTAAACTGCATTATGTAGTATTTAAACATTTCCTTATGCTTAGTCGAGAGAATTTTATGTGTAGTATAAATCATGAGTTGATAAATTTACGGACGACACTCCAATTACTTTACTAAGCCCATTTTCTTAGCTTCTACTTCATAAATTAGTAACCTCCACATTTTGACTACAAACACTTCCGCTTCTTCGTCCAATACCTGAAACGAAATATACATTCCGCTACAAGTTTTTCTATAAAATGCAAAAATAAGAAATATTCTGCGATGTAATTACCATCTGTACATCGTCTAGTATTCCCTGAGGAGAACTGCCTGCCATTACTTTGCTACAAATAAAATCCACTAGAGTAGGTTCGGGTTCGCCAATATATTCGATAATCTTTTTATTGATCCAAGGTCTTATCCTCTTCTCCATCAACGTCTAAACGAAAAAAAAGCAAAACGTGTAAAAACATGCTTAAGAGTTGACCAATAAAAATCGCTATAGTAGAGAGTGCAGGATTAAAATCACACGATACATTAAATTAGTTTTGAGGTAAGAAGGAAAGTTGGTTTTCACAAAGAAATTAGATCTGAGAATAAAGAATACTTACGTTATCAATGAGTGTCCAATCGAGTTGATAACCAAACAATGCATTCTTATCGGTAGGTATTTTGTCTATAAGAGATTTTATGTGCTTTCGCTTTTCTTCTTGACTCTTTGTATTTTCTTCCTTCCCTGCCTTTGTAGCTTCCTCGGATTTCTTTTTCTTTTCGTCTCCATAATCTGAAAAGATGTAAGTTCCAAGTATCTCGAATTTCCTCACAAGTGCAAAGCTAGTGAGATAAAACACTTACCTAAAGGTACAAGTTTACGCTTTTTCGCGTTATTTGCGGCATCGTCATCGTCGTCGTTGTTGAACACGTCTTTAACATCGATACGACCCTTTTTCCGCGTTTGATTCGCTTGTTGTGAATTCGTATTAGCAGTGGTGTTAGGACTGACCGGCGTTTTACCGCCTATAGCGTGATCGCTGGCACGATTGCCTCCACTTCCCATAGCAAATGGAACAAAGTTACCTACATCAAGAAAGAAAGCTATTGTGGAGAAATTTGTATCATTACAGTGCATTTTACATTAACTTAAATAATATAAAATTATCGAAATTGAAATAATATTCTTAACAGTAGTATATATACACTCTATTTCCTGTAAATGGCTACGTCTCATCAAAATTGTATTTGTGTGAAAACCGTGAGGAATTTATACCGACATTTCGTTAGATAAGTCAAGAGACACTTACTACCGCTTGTCTTTTCTGGCTCACTGACAAGAGACATGCGCGAATCTTCGTCTAATGATGGTGGAATGGATTGAGCAGGTGTCGCGGCCGATTGATGTCCTGGTGAAGGCCGTGCATCTTTTAGACTCTCTCGGTCCGCATCCGCTAGTCCCTCTTGATTCTCCTCGCCGTCGCGATGGTGATTTTGATGGTGTCTATGATGCCGACGATGATGATGATGATGTCGCGGTGGCGTTCTGGATGGTGCTTCTGGCTGAGAAACGTCGTCAAACTGCACACCATCACTGTCGCTCTCTATTGGCTCGGTTTCTATCGGCGGCATTACTTCCTTATCTTTCTTCACCACCTTGTCATCCTCTTCGTCAATTATAGTTATCACTGGTTTAGGCTTATACTGTTCCTCCCTTTCGGCTTTCAACTAATAAAAAATGGAACAGTGCACAAATGTGAATTATTAAATGAAGAATTAAATCGTTTAAGTCTATAACATTGTGTAAGATGTGATAAAGTATAATAGTTTTAATTACAACATATAGAAAGCAGGATTAATTCTTATACAATGTTGTAAAATAACAGCATCAGTGATTTTTATTGACCGTATCTGGCAATTTTTATAACAGAGAAAATTTATTGCGAAAAATATTACCTCAGCCAGGGTTTGAACCTGGACCTCCCTTCTCTCTAGGCGGGCGTCTCAACCAATTCGACCACCGAGGCATATGCCTTTTCGCAATAAATTTTTTGTATTATAAAAATTGCCAGATACGGTCAATAAAAATTACTGATGCCGTTAATTACTGTTGGCGACTTTTAAGAATATTCTTACTAGTTGTGAAATAAGTTTTTCCTATAGAACGTATTCTCAAATTCCGCTCAAAGAACAAAAAGTACAAAATTAATTTATTAAGGAATCTCAGGTTTCCTCAATTAAATGTAGCACACGACCTACCCTTTCAAATTCCGCGGCAGGATCCGGATTGGAGGTATCCGCGTATAATTTGTCGCGTAGACGCTGGAGCTCCTGACGTTCGGCGCAACGATCCCGCGAGTCTGCCTCGGCCTCGAGTGCCCGTTCCTCGAGTCGGCGAGACAGCTCCTTACCCTTGTAATACTTGGCGTCGTCGCGATCGTCGTCGTAATCCTCGAGGAACTCTTTGAGTCGTTTCGCCTCTCTCTCCCTGGCCTCGCGTTTCGCACGACGCTTCTCGGCTTCCTTCTCGTACTCCTTCTGTTTGCGTCGCTCGCGTGTCTCCCACGCTCTCAAACGTTCCTGGTACGCCGCCTCCTTCTCTCGGGCTCGCCTCTCATTCTTCTTCCTCTCCTTTGCCTCCTCCTCCTCCTCCCTCTCGCGCATAATTTCTCTCTCGGTCTTCCTCACCTCTTCTCGCTCCCGCTCCCTCTCCCGCTCCCGCTCTCGATCTCTCTCCTTCTCCCTGTCACGCTCGCGTTCCCGCTCGCGTTCCCTTTCACGATCCCGATCCCGTTCCCGCTCTCGCTCCCGTTCCCGCTCCCGCTCTCGGTCCCTCTCGCGGTCTCTGTCTCGATCTCGGTCTCGTTCGTTTCTCGATCGATCTCTGTCACGTTCTTTCGATCTGAAAAATTGAAACAGTTTATGAAGTAAAGAAAAAGTTGTACTTGGAAACAATAAAGGAAGAAAAAATCGAAGACCACGGGTGAATGTCCAGTGGTGGCGTCATGTAACGTGGCCCGCATAAATCTGTATAATGTATTCAAGCTGCGTCTACGCGCGCTTTCCTACTTGCAAAAATAATTAGTTTAACATGTTTGATACATTACTCAATGGTGCGTCTATCCTATGCAAACGGGATGCAAACGTTACTTCACCTAGATCTAGAGCGACGTTTGTCCCTTCTACTGCTGCCGGTACTATCACTACGACCTTTATGAGACGTAGGACTACCAAGGTCTCCGTCTTGATCATCCTTGTTGGAGGCATCATCGTCGCGCTTATCGCGTCGCTCCTTTTCCCGCTTCTCGCGCTCCTCTTTCTCGACAGCTTCCTTCTTTCGCTTTACCTGGGCCTTCTCCTCCTCCTGCTTCTATAAAACACAAGAACGCGGACACAGGTGAGACGAAAGGGTTGAAACAAGCGTGTCGATCTGTGATAATGATGGAACCAAGAAACTAGCAATCGTATCTTCCTCAGATGCAACAAAAGATACTATTACGTTTGTAAATATTGTCGGCAAATGTCCATCGTTACGTTACGAGAACGCGTACCAATTACTAGGCGAAGCTCCGAAATAAAAATGTATTAACAAGAAAATATAATCGTATCTTCCTCAGATGCAACAAAATATACTATTACGTTCGTAAATATTGTCGGTAAATGTCCATCGTTACGTTACGAGAACGCGAACGCGTACTAATTGCTAGGCGAAACTCGGAAATAAAAATTGATTAACAACACAATATTGCGGATATTCTAATCTGTTAAATAAATTTTGCCAAATGAATGTCAATTGTTGAAGAAATGTCTCTGTTGCATGTTCAACAATCAACAGAAAGAGGACGTGCGCGTAAATGGAAAAAAAAAGGAATCGCGTTTAAATCGCGCGTGAGTGGCCATCTCACAATTCGTATGCAGAACGATTACTAGTTGCAGTAAGCCTTAATCATCTGACGTAACGAATGTAGAGAGATGTTCATTTCAATATGGTATACTCACTCCACTGGAGTATGCTCGATCGGCAGCATCTTACGCGAGAGAAATCTCGTTTACATATCAATTACCTAAGTGCAGGTACAAATGTTTGGATACAGGCATAAGAGTTATCTTAGACTCTAGCTTATAATTTAAGTACCTTAACGCTATTAACAGATGCATCGCAGAGGCCACCCAATGTACTTACAACATTGCAAATGTGCCTGTAAAATCGATAGTGTCTAAAATCTATGGTAAAATCTAAGAGCTTGAAAGGGGTCTTGAGATTATTTAGACATTCTTGATCAATATTCAATAATTATTAGAAAGTATTATACCAATCGGAGGCGCAGTCATCACGAAGAGGGGTATCCCACCAAAACATCTTTTCACATTTGCCAAGAAACTGTCTCACACTGTCTGACAACATTTGTTTTCCTCTGGTAATGGTTACACGCGTTATGGCAGCCGATGCAGCAAACTGTTGAATATCAAATGCACAATAGTTTGCCCACCGTTATCGTCCCGTGTTATAAACGCAACGTCTTAGAAATAAATTAGTATGATTCATCCTTATTCTGTTATACTACTATACTCCAAAAATGGGTTACTGTTTGGAAAATCGATCCCGACGTTAATTATTCTGCGACCGTCATACGAGACTAGAACCGTAATCTGCCCACAATATTTGGGTACAAACGTTCAAGTAAAATATCGTATAAACAAGTATCATCTCTATTAGCAATGAAATACTACTCGAAGTACTACATCATTGTGTAATACGCATTTTTCTTTCTCTAATATTCCTGGCATGTGTAACTATGAAAATAATATCGTTACAGTATCGGTATATTTGCTATTATCGATGAGCGAATTTAGGAAAATGCAGTCGTTTTGATCATTTATCGTTCTCATCATCGATAGCGGTATCCTACTACTGTTTTACACAATCGTCTACTCCAGCACGACACGTGGAACGTAAACTATCTCGTCCATACGGTAACCCATGATTTTAAGTTCTAACAAGGGTAGAATAACTCAGTGCATAAAAGTAGATGCACATTGTGAGGAGAAAATAGACTGCTGAAACATGAAACGTGGTCAAAAAGGTATTTCTCAGACTGGGGCAGTTCACTAGCAAAAAATACTACAAGAACCGAATGCTTGTGTTGGCTCATGGTTGTGGAGTTTACTCACGGTGTGAAGTTGACTTGGTCAGTCAGTGTGGTGGTACCGGAGAATGGAGGAGCGCGCACCTAGGTACTACATGTCTGATCGAGACGCTGACAGAAGCTGTTTACACAAAATAAAGACAACAACTGAACAGTCGCCACTTGGTGATGGGCAAAATCAGTTTCATTGTGTGTAGCGCACAGAGTCTCCCGGCCCTAACAAATTGTCTATCCCAAAGATGTGAAAAGTGTGTCAGCGCCAAAGTATGTTTTGCTCAAAATGATAATACGTTCCAACCCTAGGCTGTGTGCGTGAAAGCAACCTGGACAACCGCTTACCTACGTTTGATATGCGAATACTAGACTGCTAGACGTCAACACGGGCAATTAACGTGACATTCGCGTAAATGACCAAGAATCGTTCCTCGTTGTTCGTTTTCATTTCAGATTTAATATCAATACGTACGCGTGTCTCTCGCGAAAAAAAAGAATGTAGCGAGACATCGTATTGCTTCATTAATGTAAATACCAACTGCCGTGTCTCTTGATACATGACAATCGATATACATGGTGATTGATCAGAAATAACACATTTTTAAACATTTCCTTTCGATTTGAAGATGTTAAGAAAAGAAAACCTTGAGGAACCTTGAGACCAAGATCTAGAATGGTCATGAAAATCTCAAGTCTGGTGAAGAAATGATGTCTAATTAGATGAGAATATTAAGCAAAGATATTTTTTACATTATTTCACAAGTTTCATTTTCCAAAACCATTCAGATTCTATTCTACACGCGCATTTCTGTATCTCTGAATCTAAGAGAAATATTTATTTGCTCCGTTTCTAGTGATTCATCTTGTCGAAGTAATCTTCATTCCTACCCTCTAATGCAAATGATTCTAATTCCATTTAATTAACAAAGAATATAACGAGCAAGATATTAACAGATCGAATAAGCAGTCGCTCGAGTGTATTCGACAACCATGTATCAAGTGCAAATTGTGCTTGAAAACGAAACACAGCCGTACAACAGATAGAAAGAACTCGTTATTTCGGCGCGCCACGTTTGACACGTTAAAACACATCTTCGACATCAATTGCTAGCAGTTCAGCATGACATATACAGAAGTAGATAAAGTTAGTTTAGTGGCAAATAAATCGTAATGGTATCTATCTCTAAACGTCAAAAATATAATAGCCGCAATGTAGCACAGCTCTGTATTTGCGACGAATCAGTAAAACAGAATACCAATAGAAACAAACTGATCAGCTACATGTCGCCAGCTTGTCGCGCAGAGCTATGAGTCTCCTTCTTAATGTATATTGCGCATTTCTTTTTTTTTTCATGTTTGGTTGTTTGGATTGTACTCTGACTTACCGACGAGCCTGCAGCCGCCTGCGAAATTACGAGGGATGTGCTGTGATTGACTCCCTTCAGAGCCAATGAGTGAGTGAAAGGGTGGTCCCCACACACAGCATTCCTAGGCGTGTGCGTTTGCTGTGTGCGACGCACGCTGCCTGTTATTATAATTATAGCAACGAGTCACGGCTCCAATTGTTCAGAGCTAATATAGCACACACGCACTTTACCACAAAATACTTAAAAGCTACGACTTTCGATATACTCGTATAATCCTCTCTTGTATACATATATCCAATACATTCTTTTACATTTGAAGTGTACACAAAGAGAGAGAGAGAAAGAGAAAGAGAGAGAGAGAGAGAGAAAGAGAGAAAGAGAGAGACAGAAAGAGATAGAGAGACAGAAAGAGATAGAGAAAAAGAATCTAATTACCAGCGTCTGCGATAAAATGTGTATGCGATTGGACACTTTCGATATTCAACTAGAGCTGATCAAATTTGCGACTCCATCTTGTTTAATCATTCAGACCACGTGTCACGCTAGCGTGAGCGATTCGTGTCCAATCGCAACATACATACGAGGTAGATACTAGCGGCAATTCATCGACAAATATTAAAAGATGAGTTTCTTTCTTTCGTGTATAGCACGAATTCATAGATTTACATCGTTGTAATACTGCTGTATACCTCTGATTTCATCCAAATCAACAAGACGTAACGTGACAATGTTTCTTTTTGTACATTCAACAGTTTCAAGTTTCGCGAAAACTTTTACGTACGCATACTATGTTCGATCGGTATCGTTAGCCTACTCGAACATCGTAAACTTACGAATGAACCGATGCGTAAAAAAAAAATATATATATATATGTGAAGAGACAACAATAATACAAAGTATTACAAACATATACTTGATATTCTGCAAATAAGCGGTAGAAAAGTATCGTATTTTCCAAAGTTTTATATCGAGATGACAAAGAAAAAGATATAAGAAGATAAAAAAAATAAGAACGACATAAATACTCGGAGAAAAGTATACAGACACATTATGCATTATCGCTAATATACGAATAGCACAATTAAGTCACAGATCTTTATCTGACCTTGCTGCATCTGAAATGCATCATTTTATCTCGTCGGATTTCCATTTATTTTGCAGTAATGAGATCGATTGCAAAAAAGATATGTTTATAATGCTTCGTAGGCCGAGTGTTACACACAAACAACATCAATGTCCTCGCGTGGATATTGATCAATGAAACAACTTTCATTTAAAATATGATTTCTTTTTAAGAGAGACAAAAAATCATTGCATCTTTCATTGCGTCTAACGCGACGAACCGTTCACGATTACAAAAAAAGAAAAAAAACGAGGGCGAGACTCTAAGGGGGAGGGGGGGGGAGATTAACAGTACTCGTAACAATAATAATAATTACCTTCATAACCTCCCTGAATTTTCCAATTTCCCGGGTAATCAAGTCTCTTTTACTCTCTTCTATCTCAGTATCGTCCAGGTTTAAGGATTTAGCTACCATTTTTGTCTGATGTTCCTCTGCGACAAAGGTTTGCAGTGAGAAATTCGCGTGTCCCTCGCAAACGAAGACTTGGCGACGACTTAAACACCAATTACCTGGGGCAACCTGCGCCATTTCTAGATCTACAGCGTGCTCGGCTATGATCTGGTTGATACGAGCGAGCGCGTCCGCGTCGACCACCCTCATACCCTCGTCCATGTAATCCTCGCCCTCTTCGCCGTCGACTCCCTCGCCGGGCGCCTCGTCCTGCAGAGGCGACTGGCCACCTCTGAGTTTCCTCCTTCGTTCGGCTGCCAAGCAAAAAAAGAAACGCTCGCAATTCGTCCCTATCGAAATTTTCATCTGGGTCCTTTACCCAAGGCTCACCTTTGAATTGGTCCAGGACTACCTTGGCCTTGGCGTCCACCTTGACGACGAGCTTCTTCGTGCCTATCTCCATGTCGTGGAGCAAGCGGACCGCTCGAAGGCCCGCGTCCGGACCCGCGTACTCGCAAAAGCCGAACGCCTGTACCCTCTTCCAGGAGAGCACGTGTCCACACGCGCCCAGGATGTGTCGTATCATCACGTCGGGCGCTCGGTCCATTATGTTACCAATGAACACAGTGACGGGCGGGCCGGACTCCCTCTCGCGCCTCCGATTATTATCGTGGCGGTTCTGATTGCGCGAGTAACGTACAGCCGGCGCGGAGGTCTGCATCGCAGATACGGGTGATGGAATCATCTATGTTTTATAAATGGTAGGATTCTTAATTACGCACATTGTCTACTCATGCAGCTCTGCTTTTCCCCTCCCTCTCTAATAGCGCGATTGATTCGTTCCTCTCTTTTTTACTTCAACTAATTAATTAATCAAGGGTCGGCCATGGAACATCGAGTTCTGCTTTGCGGTGTTGCATGCACTGAACAAATTTAATGAAACGACAGTCCCCCATCCCCTGCATATACAAAGCTGTTTGTAAACTTGTTTGAAACACTCGTTCCAAGCTTGGAAAAATCTACGATGCAGTTTGTTGTTAAATCGTGTGTACGGCGATAGAAAATGCGTGCTCTCTACGCGTAGAGGATAATGCAGTGCAATATGTATCAACTGCGCGTTGTGTGAAATCAATGCTCTCTCGCGTACACTTTGGTCCACACTCTGAACCTCCTCTTAAGCCCAATGTCCACGATGCTAGAACTTGGCCAAGTTCTAGCATCGTGGACATTGGCCTTTATCGATAGAAGCGCCACTAAAATTGGTCTCGAAGGATTCTCGCTGACAGAGAAGCTCACATACAGGCACCTTTATCGACAAAAGAGGAACATACAGGCCTCTGCGGTCCCCAAAGAGACCTCTCGGCGGCAGCGAAAGCGCAAGTTACTACACATAGGCGGGTTCAGCTTGCTTGACGAGCGTACGTGGTGCCTCTCACAGAAAACCAATCGATGTCGAAACACACATATCATGCCCTGACGTGCGTGCGGGTTCACTTACGTGGGCCATCGGCATGACTCCTCCTATGATCGGCGGAGGCGCGCCGACCATGTACGGCATCGGCGGCATTCCTGGGATACCCATAGGCGGCTGGCCGGGGTAGGACATGATCGTGGCAGATTGACGCTACAGCAGTGAACACTCTGCAACGATAAGTCGTGCGGATTTACCTTGCGGGCAGTTAATGAGTTTACTCTCTGAAATTTTTGGGAGCAAAAGTATTCGCGCCAAGAGTCTCAGAGAGTACAACCACGTAGGGATCGCGTATACAGTGGTCGCGAAGCGACAGCTCGTTATCGTCGGCAGATTAATTCCTCGTCGAATTACCCCCCCCCCCGAGCACTTGGAGACGAGACGCGACGCGACTCAAAATTATGTGAAAGCTCGCGAATACCCCGGTAGCGAGTCCCGGACTGTCGGACGTGTATTCGGGTATCGAGTGTACGGGGATAAATATTATCGTGTCGCGGCTTACGAAGTGGAGCTTTTGGGGACGGAACGGTGGATGAAGTGCGAGCTTAGCTTCCGTATTTGCGAACGGAAAGTGTGAGAAGGCGCGAGACGTTTGCCGCTGCACGATGATAACAGTGATAGCGCTTGATGCTCCTGCCACACGTAATGGTACTCGGATAAGAGATACGAACGATGCTGCAAAAGTCACACGCGGAAGCAGTCAATCTGCGAAGAGGGTCCGACAAAGCGAGCTTCACGCGTATGCGACAAGAAAAAATACACACACACACACACACACACACACACACACACTCTCTCTCTCTCTCTCTCTCTCTCTCTCTCTCTCTCACACACACACACACACACAAACACATACACACACGCGCGCGCACACACACTCACTCTCTCTCTTTCTCGCACTCACACACACACACACACACACACACACACAAACACACTCTCTCTCTCTCTCTCTCTCACTATTTCTTTACTCCTCCTCCTATGCCCTCGAGCTTCCCGCAATCTCAGTGACCCATAGCCCAGCGTGCGTCCCGAATATTCGCGCTGTATCCGAGCAAACTTCACAGAATTGAGCGAGACCGCGCGGCGCACGCCTCGCGGGGGGAGATCGGCGACCAAGCTTGTCGCAGAAACGTACCTACGTCGGTCGCCAAGACGTTCGCGAGCGCCCGACAGGAAGACGTCGATGATGATGGATTTTAACCACCAAACCAGCACGAGGGGGGGGAGGGCGGAGGGAGGGAGAGAAAGAGAGAGTGAGATCACTCTTGCAGTCGTACTCACATGGCGTGGCTCGTGGCGGCTCGCGGAGGCGGTTATCGCGCGAGAGATCTACGTGTCATTTCGACGGGACCGTCGCGATCGGGACGTGAACAACGCGCGGAAAATACCAGTAAATACCAAACTACCGATTCTCCACACGAAAGGCGCGATACAATTGCGGTGGCCGCGCCACGGTGCACGCGCGCCGTGTAGAGCCGCCGCGAGTACGTGATAGCCGAGACGCGTGGCGCCGCCACGCGCACGGATCGATTGGCCACACTGGATGCGAATTGGACAGTTTTTGAATACGGCGGCTTTCACGAGAAAATCAAAATGATCCTGGAGCTCGATTCTTGAATTTATTCGAAGGAGAAACGTATGCGAAAATTCTGCTCTTACAGAAAAGCTGCAAGTTGATTGGCTATTCGCGTGGCTTTGACCAATAGACTTTCAACTTTTCTATCAGAGCAGAATTTTCGTATATATTTCTTCTTCGAATGATTTCGAGAATCGAGCTCCAGAAGCTGCATGCTTTCGCAAGATGATGAAAATGATCCAGATTAAAATGACCATGTGCTGTGATTGGTCAAATCTGAAATTTCGTTGCATCACATTGAAATTCAATGAAATTCCAGATTTGACCAATCACAGCACAGGGTCATTTTAATTTAAATTATTTTAATTTTCTCGCGGAAGCACCCACGGATATAAACAGTCAGATTCCGTCAGATTCAATTCCGCCAGATACATAAGAATTGACCAATCACAGTCGACTATTCTTACGACTGCGACTTTACGACTTTTATGTAGACGAGGCTTTAGGCTTGGTCTACATAAGATGTAGTAAGTCGTGTCGGAAGAAATTGACCAATCACAGTCTATTATTCTCCTTACGATCGAAGAATAATGAACTGTGATTGGTCAATTTCTTCCGACACGACTTACGACATCCAATGTAGACTCAGCCTTAAAGCCTCCGCTACAATGATTCTCGGTTCTGTCTACAATGGTCGTAGTCGTAAGAATAATCGACTGCGATTGGTCAATTCAGTCAGACGTATAAGAATTGACCAATCGCAGTCGATTATTCTTACGACTACGAGTACTACGACCATTGTAGACAGACCCGAGAATCATTGTAGCGGAGGCTTTAAGAGGAAATGGGAACACACCTCGTCTCTCCTCGTCTGTCCCTCGCGCGCCTCGTCGCGCACGTGTGCACGCGTGCGTGCACGCGATGACAGATCCCGCAACGACGTCGCGGGCGTGTGCGTGAGGGGCACATGTGCGGTGCGCGGCGTTGTGCGTTCTCTCCCGAGGGTCCCGACCCGAGAGTATCCTCCCCCCTCGGAATCTCGCCCGCCCTTCTCCGGCAGCGCCGCCTCGCTCCGTCTCCCCCTTTTTTTTTTCTTCCCGTTTCTTTTCTCCTCGCCTCCGAGGACGGATCCGCGTGCGCGTGCTAATGAGCGCGCGTTAATGCGCGGCGGGCCCGCGCCACGAACGATAACGTCGCGTCGGATAGCACCGAGCTCGGAACGCCGGACGTGACAATCTCCCTCCCTCTCTCTCTCGCGCGCTTTCGATCATGGGTAAGTTCTTCGGCGCCTCGCCGTTTCTCGTCAAACCCACGCACGTTCCTGGCACGGATCGCCGATCGTTTCAGAGGACCCCACGGAGGCGCAGAAGTGGCAGCAACACCTGGCCCTGCTGCGGGAGCAGTACGTCAATTTGTACAACGCGAACGCGGAGCTGCAGCGGGAGTACGCCGTCGCCACGGCCGAGAGGCAGGAGGGCGGATTCGTTGGCAGACTCCTGGCGACGGTGGCATCCTTGTACTGTCAGCATCGTTACAGGTATCCCCCGCGCGTGTAATCTGAAAAACCAGAGTAGTCTTCTTGTAGCAACGACAACGCGGTGACTAACGACTCGGTAAAATGTCTTTTCAGTGATATAAGCATAAAGCTGATCGACCAGGAGATACCGGCGCACAAATTCGTGCTCTCTGCCAGGACTGACTTCTTCAGCGACGCCGCCCTCGTCGAGAAGACTGTTTTAGGTTAGACGAGCGTGTATCTTGCGTTTGCTTTTACGTCTTTTATTTTTACGTGAACACGTTGCTTACGTGCGATCCCCAGATTGGAGCAATTTGAGCAGCGCCGTTGCGTTAGTGCTGCTGAAATGGATTTACACGGGCAAGGTGTCTCAGGAGCACTTGACGTTGGACCTGATGAAAGCGGCGGCTGGCTTCCAGCTATCCGAGTTGGTGGATCAGTGCGAGAGGTACCTGATCGGGACGGTGGGCCTGAAGAATTGCGTGGTGCTGTACTCGGCCGCCGAGGAACTGAGCACCCTCAAGCTGAAGGAGCACTGCAGCTCCTTGATCTCGGCGCATTGGGTAAGGGCGCGGTTGTCAGAACCAACGCCGTTAACTTTGCACCTAAAACGCCCGCGTGTCCCGCAGGAGGATCTGACGGGCGAGGACTTTAAGGAAATGCCGGGTTCTCTGCTGTACAAGCTACTGCAGACCAAGAGTAAATACCCTTTGCACGCGGCGGTACGCCTGATGCGCGAAGACGTCGTGTTTCTGTACCTGGTGGAACACAACGCCGAGGTAAGTCGTCTCCTGCTCCCCCTCCTTGATCAGTGAAACGCCAATGACGCGATATGCGTTGAAATAAATTTTATTGAGGTAACTTTAATTCGCTATCACTATACATGATTACTTGCATAATTTATACAACAATATATGAAGACAGTACGAAAATATTGTACTGCTAAAGTACAGGGATTTAACATTGTAATTTGTCGTCGTTAAATATCTTAAATGCGATAATATCATTACATCTTTCACAGCTTGAGTTTGAATGTTAAGTACTTGCATGCACGGAGTACGCCTTGTTCGCCAACATTAGAGATAACTGGTCTTGGTAGTTTTGGCAGTGCTTATACACATATAGATATCAGCAGATCTTTTACTATAAATCAAGAAAAATTGCTCCAAAGTGTCTCGGTTAATTCCTGACACTTGTCTTTTCACTCAATAGCGTACATTGTTCCAAATTAGAAAATAGAAAATCGCAAGTTACAAAATAAAGAATAAATTATTTTATGTAGCAACTTTATAAAGTAAGTTAGTTTTTGGTTTCGTTCAGGATATGCTCTCGTATTTTCTATATTGTACGATATTTGCTATTTGTCATGAGGGATCTCTGCGCGATTAATTCCATAATTAACGGCCGAAGCCTTACTCGCCGCGTGCACGAAACTCTCCGGCGAATTGCACCCCTTTGCCTTCCAAGAAACGCATTGCGCGTGTGATAAACTATGAAGTTTTACAACAATGTTACAATTAGCAACGCCAATATCGTCCCGTACATTTTGCCGAACGTCCCGACTTGCGGGGGGGACGAATTGCACAAGTGGAAACCGCAGAAACAGTATTCGGGCGGGCCGGTAGGCGCGCCTCTGTGTTCTCCAATAAAGCAACCCTCGTCGTAAGCGGACTCTATTACCTCCACCTTTTTGTACCACTGTCTATCGGCGTCGTTGTAAGTGTGAGACGTGTACTTCTGGGGCGCGCAATCCCGCTGAACGGTGGTCACTAGGGACGCTGAAGGAAGAAGTTTTATAAATAAACGCTGACGCCTACGACGGTCGTCTACCTACTTTTAGATTTGTACTGAACGGTCCTCTTCATACAAAGCGTCGAAGTCGGGCAGAACACCTGGAATTTGGCGCTCCCGTCGAAATGGGAACAGAGCTTATCCGTGTCGTCCGGGTTCATCAGCGTCATGAGACACTTGAAGCACGAAATACCCTCCGTCTGCGCCGGTGAAACGCCTACAAGTTGCGAGATATTATAATTTCACGCTCTTGCTTCCGCGTAACAGAACACCGCAGATATTATAATAATAACGTACGTAATAGAATACTGATACATAATATCATAATCTGCAGACTTGGCTTTAAGTTGCACATTTTATCTACGATGTCGTTCGTGTCCCATCAAGAAGTGACTGTTACTTAGGTCAGTAACGACGGATGTCCTTGAACACCCTGTTTCAATAATAACAGCGACGAAATCTGAAACGATATTTGAATCATATTAACGTGCAACACGAAGTACTTGTTCCCTCCTACTCAGGATTAAGACTTCACTGACCATTTAAAACAGAAGACACCGCCCAGCCGCTTCGCCCGAGCAACTTAATCGGGCGCGGAATTAAGAGGCTCGACAATTACTCGTGCAATTATCGGCGGATCTCTCTCGATTGGGAAACCGTTAGATTTCACCGCTGGCCGATCCACCGTGTCCGCGTGACGCTCCCAAGTCGGAGCTTTCCGGTCTCATTATCCTCTTCAGTTAGCGTGCACTGGCACGTTCGCCCGCTAAACGGAGAGCGGCGGGCAAGCTGGTGCCCACCTATCACAGGGTCTCGCCGTTTGCGTAACGACGTCGCATCGTCGTAATGACACGCAGCACGGAACCGTCGCGGAGAACCCGCCTCGCGCGGCAACGCATCAGAGGCGCGTGGAGCAGCGGCGACTGGTCGAAGCGGTCGACGGCCGATTGCGCTCGGCTGGGCGTCGCGCGGGCCACGTCATCCGCCGCGGCGGTGCCACAATACTCCCTCGGCCTTCCATCTATATCAGAAAATAATCTCGCCGCTTCCTCCACTTTTTCCACCGCTGACCCGATACCGTCCGCCGCGCCATTCCAGCCAATTCCAGCGCGTGCACACACACGTGCGCGCGTCGCGCGCGCTGATAGCAGTGGCTCTCAAGTCCGAAATTGCGTTTTATGATTGAACGTGCGGGGCTCCGTTCTTGAATTTCATTCGAAAGAGAAAGGGAAATTCTGCCTTCGTGGAAAAGTGGAAAGTTCGATTGGCTCGAAAGCATCCGCACAGCCAATCAACTTTTTCTGTAAGAGCAGAATTTTCGCGGAAATTTCTTCTTCGAATGAATTGCAAGAATCGTGCACCTGTTATATTTCAAAACTGATATTTAAAACGCCACGCCATGTAGATTTATTCAAAATGCAAACGAATGTTTAATTTAGAGCATCGTTTATCATTAACAATTTTGGTTATTGTCATATTAAAATGTTCTATTTTATTTTTATCAGATTTGCACAACAAACATACGCTTTTTGCAGTAAAATGCAAGTTTTGACATTGTCTCATTGTACATAGAGTAATCTTTAAATCAGTTTTAAACAAAGCGAAGAGAACGAGGATCTCGATGCCTTCTGTAATCTGTTTCTTGATAACATTGCGGTTATTTGTGCTCAGCTCCCGAAGGCGGTCAACGCTGTGGATCACAAAGGAGAAACGGCTCTGGAAGTTGCCTTGAAAACTCGCCAGCCGTCTCTGGCTCGCACCCTGGTCGAGCACGGCGCGGACCTGAGCGCGAAAGACGCGAGGGGCCTTTCTCTCCTTCACTCGGCTATCTTGAAGGGAGACTCCTACTCGTCCGAGTTCATAATCGAGCAGCTGGAGAACAACGGCAGCGTTCAGAAGCTGTGCGAGGCTGTGAAAATTAACGAGGGCGCGAAGAATGCGGCCGAGCTTAAGCAACTGGAAGGCTGCACCGCCTTGCATTTGGTGGCGAGGCACAATACGGAAAACATGCTCGCGGTTGGCTCGAGATTGCTCCAAGCGGGAATCGATCCGAACTTGCAAGACCACCGAGGATGGTAAATTTCTCGACTCTCCCCGAGTCGAGTATTTTGGCCTCAGTTTAGCCCCGTAAAATTTTTTAATTGGAAGCAATGAAGTCGAACGAAGGTCTTCGTGTCGGAGAAAATACATTGAATTTTTCACCTCAGACAGGCCTGAAAAGAATCGCTATTTCCCTTTTAGCAGTAAAGAGACCAATGCGAGTGTAATCAACAGAGATTCAGCAGAGTCTCTTCGGCCTAAGAGGTTTCAAAGAGGATGAAATGTCTTATTATATTCTCTTGAAGAGTTAGAATGAGATTAAATACAATATTTTTACTCATCCGGGCCTCAAATTAGAGTTTCAAAAGTCGACTCCGAGATCGAAATGAAGACAGAATAGAATAATTAAGGCCTATTCCGGGACCAAATACTCGACTCGGGTCTGCTCAGACATTTTTAGCTCTTACATTACCACTTCGTGAAAGCTAAACGACAGATGGAATTCGAAATAGAATTTTCATAGCTTCTATAACTGGAGACATCAAGATTATTTCTTTCTCTTGTAATTTTTTTAATCTCCCGCTTCTTTGCAGGACTGCGCTTCACAGCTGCATCTCGGAGAAAAACGAGATGCTGTTCGATCTGCTACTCGAGGCGAAGAACATAGACGTAGACCAAACTACGAACGAGGATGACACACCGTTGTGTTTCGCGATGAAGACGGAGCCCTTCAACGAATACTTCGCGTCGAAACTGCTTACCAAGAGCGCCATACCGAATCCAACGTACGATGTCACCGGCGACACGTTGCTCCACATCTTGACGCGGGAACGCAGAGAGGGGGCGGCGTTATTCTTAGTGGAATATTGTAATAATAATTTAATGAAAACCAACAACGAAGGTTTCACGATCCTGCACGACGCGTGCAGGGTTGGCTTGAAGGATCTGACCCGTGCTCTGTTGAGGAACGGGCTGCCGACCGATGTCGTTACCCTATCCACGGGCGACGCGCCAATTCATTTCGCCATTTCGAATCTGTTCACCGACATAGTCGTCGAGCTGCTGGACGCTACGAGCTCGGACTCGCAGCTGACTATTAAGAACAACGCGAACGAGACGCCTCTGAGCTTGGCTATAAAGGCACCGTTCAAGAAGGGTAAGGACATCGTGCTGGCTCTGATAAAGGCCGGAGCCGACGTGAACGAGCGTAACGACGAAGGCCTGACGTTGCTGCATCAGGCGATACTGAAGGAGGATTCGGCCACGGCGATATTTCTGTTAGAAAATGGTGCCGATATGAATGCAAAGTGAGCTTAACGACGCGTTAAAATTTGTAGAAATCTACTAGCGACAAGTCTCAATGTTACAATTGTACTTTGATATGTGCAGAACAGCGAACGGAGAGTCGCCATTGCAACTGTGCGTACATTGTAGACTGAGCGAGGTGGTGGAAGCTCTTTGCAGGCGAGGCGTGGACACCTCGATAGGATGCCCGTTGTGGGACGCTTTGGACTCTGATCAAGAAGACACCGCGTCGATCTTGGTCAAACACGGAGCGGACACCGATTGCTGGGGCTTGGGTCCCGATGGCTGTCAGCAAACGTTGTTACACAGAGCGATCGACGATAACAAGGAGGATATCGCGCAGTTTCTGATCAGAAGGTGCGCATATTTTTTCAGAATGAAAGCAAAAATAAAACGTAATTCGCGGTTTATCACAAAAGAAGTTACTTAAGATATCAAATTGATAAAATTCGTAAGGCTCAAATGTGACAAACACAAATTCAAAGGAATAAGGGACTGAGAGCCGTGGACAGGGTGTTAGTGTCTATTAGTTGCTTAAAATATTTCAAATACTCTTTTTTTTTTAATGACGATTTATTCTGCCGTAGCGGATGCGACTTGAATGCTCCAAGACGACTTGGTCCGGACGGTGCTGGCGGAGACGAGGCGAGGGACGAGTGCACGCCGTTACATTTGTGTTGCCAGTGGGGCCTGGAGCAAGTTGTTCAGACGCTCATCGAGCACGGAGCCGACGTAAACGCCCGCGACGCGGAGGGCAAGACGCCTGTGCACGTGGCGATACAGAATCAGCATTCGCAGATTATTTCCCTTCTGCTGTGCCACCCGAATATAGATCTGAATAGGAGAGACAAGAAGGGACTAACGCCTTTCGCGACCGCCCTGACAGTCCGCAACAACAAGGCCGCACAAGCAATACTAGAGCGATTACCTAAGGCCGCCGAGCAATATGACAATAAGGGCAGGAACTTCTTGCATACTGCCATACAGAAGGGTGACATGGAGAGCATTCTATTTCTGCTGTCGATACAGGTACCGCACTTTTAATTTACGTGGACAGTTGATCGTATACAAAAGCCAGTATCAGCAGCCGATCGCTCTTCAGGTCGACGTGAATTCGAGGATACACGACGTCACGCAAACGCCTCCCCTGCATCTCGCGGGCGTGTCGGGGAACGAGATGTTGGTGCGAAGTTTGATTCTGGCGGGCGCCCGTGTCAACGATACGGACGCAAATAGGAACACCGCGCTGCACGTGGCTGCCAAGGCGGGACACGCCACTGTCGTGTCCGCGTTATTGCAAGTAAGACGGGAATTAACGCGCCAAGCATCGAGATCGGCAGTATCTTAATCTCGCGATACCGAGCCCCGTTTATCTTGCGTAGAACAACATCAACTTCGACGCGGTGAACGCGGACGGCGACAACGCGCTGCACGTAGCTGTGAGAGAGGGCCACGTATCGGTGGTGCGGGCGTTGTTGACCGAATGTACGCTGGACGCGGAAGCGGTGAATCTCAAGGGTCGCAATCCTCTACACGAGCTGGCTAGGTGCGCGAGGGACAACGCTGCGACGATATGCGACCTGTTTTTAGAATGCATGTCGCAGTATCCAGTCAATAACGCAGGTACAGAGGAAAAGCGCGATAAAATTATTCTGAAGGACACTCTGCAATCTCTTTCTTCAACTAAACTGCTTATCACACGTTGCATCCACTAATTTCAGACTTGGATGGAAACACGCCGTTGTTGATCGCGTACATGAAGGGCAACGGCAATCTTTGTAGAACGCTAGTGAAAGCCGGAGCGTGCCTAGGCTCGATGAATAAGGACGGAATTACGATCTTCAACTATCAAGTAGCGACAAAACAGCTATTATATAGACTGTTAGACTCCCTGACGCAGGAAGCGCCGTGGTCCGACAAGGATTGCTGCTTGGAGTGCGGAACAAAATTCTCTCTCACAATGCGCAAGCATCACTGGTACCGTCGGATCATTTTAATAACAAAATTTGAATATGTTGATCTTCCAAGCGTATCTTACCTCGACACGTAGAATGGACTCGAGCGTTACGCACGACGTGCCAGCACATGCTCTGAAGCGAGAAACGCTGTAGGATATGCCTGTTCCTCTCGCTTCAGAGCGTGTGCTGGCATGTCGCGCGTAACGCTCAGTCCATTCTCAGGGTGTCCAGTGGTCAGGGAAATCTGGAAAACCGGGAATTGTCAGGGAATTTGAGAAATCTCCAACTGTCAGGGAAAAGTCAGGAAATTTTACGATTTATCTGGATTTTTTTACATCGTTTCACATTTTCTCTGAATAATTTAAAGTTTTTAGAAAACAAACTTTTCTTTGACTCTCGGCACACTAATTTTCTGTTTTGCTAAACATCAATTTATTTTTGAGCGTGGTCGGTAATTTATATTTTCATCGTCGTGTTATTTTATTTCAATGTGTTTAACTGAGACAAAACTAGATAGAAACTAGAAGAAAAGATTAATTACTGAACAGTACTATCTAAGTAAGTTACTATCTAGTAAGTTGCAAACAAAATGCAGTTAAGCAACACGAAAGCGTCATATTTGATTTACGTACGGTATCACAAATGGTTCGAATGGTTTGTAATGATATGTTCGTTCCTATTACACAATGTATTATGCATAGATGGTATAATTGCTTTAATTTAAATTGTTACCTTTTTAAATTCCGGACTTTTGTTTCCCGAGAAAAATATTTCGAGGACTTCATCATTTAACATTTACTTGATTTACCATACAGATGTACGTGAATTATGCATCTTGAAAAAAGTTACGCTAAACGATCAGGGAAAAATTAATTCCGGCTCCTGGAAAACCTGAAAAAGTCAGGGAACGTTTTTCATTGAGTTTGCTGGACACCCTGATTCTATACGTCTATGGTATCTGATTTCCCTCTTTTTTTTTCCAGCCGGCATTGTGGGCGAATTTTGTGCAGCAAGTGTTCCGGTCAGGACGTGCCGATCCTGAAGTTCGGTTTGAACAAACCGGTACGCGTGTGCAACGTATGCTTCGACGTACTGCTGGGTACCGGTTCTCTTCAACCGTCATAGTTGAAATAAGAATTTATATACGACAGCTGGTAGAGGGAGAGATCATTCTGACGGTTTTTTTATACGAAAATGCAGATGCGAACTGAATCGAAAGTCTGTGTATGTAATTGTACGCCATTAATATTTTATGTATCCTATTGTATACACATTGTTCAGATTTGTTAAAACTATCTCATAGAGTTGCAATATACGGATGAAGAGGAAACTGCGCGTCGGTACAACTTCCATCCTTAATAAGTTAATCTTTTATTGCTAGTCTTCGGTTATATATGTACAACAGCTTGAGAGAAATCTTTCAGCTTTAACATGGCGAACAACAAGGTTGGCTCTCATTGCAGGAATATCGTGCAATTACTTAAGCTTACTGAACAGGGTCTTTGCGACGCAATGGTCTACGCATTGCACGTAATCGAGGATCTCCTCTAGGCAAGTTTCCTCTGTGTTGGATCTTGAATTAACACGGTCGTTACACGTGTCTAATTTCTCCTTGAAAGCCATGCATTTTGCCTCTTGATTGCATTGCTCCTGCAAGAAGGAAAACCAGATGTCGGTTAAGAGGAACGGAGTTAATGTCGATATCTCTCGATGATCGCAACTTAAATTGAAACTGAATGGAGCCTCAAATCGGTCGTTTGGTCCCGTCAGGACATTGTTCTCGTGTGCAGAATTCGAGGCTTCTTGTCTGGCTTTAATAAACTATTGTTTTTATATTTAAAAGAAATCAAACCGTATACCGGCATTTGGGTGACTTTTCTGTTCGGTTAAGAATCAGTCCAAGGCGTAAATTCGCGAGACGCACGCGAGCCACGATCGTGACTTAAACCTCGTCGGGAAAGAAGCGTACCTTCGCTACGAAGATTCAGAAACGCGCTCGAGAGGCAAAACATTACGTAACGATTGTCACTTACGCGAAGTACTTTTTGGGGATCCACTAGCTCCTCTTCCTCTCCGTCGTCTGCTTTGACTACTGGCAGATACTGCTTGAAGAAGTTCTGTATTACGTTCGACATCTCTTTGATTAGGATATACTTCGGTAGCGTGGAAGTCGACCACTGCCAAGCTTCTCCGAAGGAAGGAGCTGCGCCGAGATAACCGCTGTGCAATAACCGCGACTTCAGCACGTTTGGGAGGAACGATTATCACGACTCTGTCGATTGATCGAGACTCAAGTTGCCGTACATCGAGGAGTCTTTCGTGTAGCGACCAATCGGAGCTGCCGGAGACAACAGACAGCCGCGTGAGATGATTGGCTACGCTTTCTAAAGGCCTATGTCCACGATGCTAGAACTT